AAATAATTTTATAATAAATCTTGATATTTTTTTTAAACAAGTTATAATTTTTGAAGTATGGAGAACTCAAACTTTAAATTAAAATTAAAAGTGTAACTTACAATCAAACGTATAATTATCGAATCATAAGATTCAATGTAATAAGTCTTGACATTTAAAATAATAAGGAATCTTGATTTTCATTATACTCTAATTTTTACCTCATTTATTAAAACTTTTCAAGAAAGTCAAATGTACTCTTTGGTAGTAACATTATAGGCGAGAAAAATAATTTTAATAATTTATTTATTGAAAGGTTAATTGTTTAATATTATAAAATTTTAAATATTTAATTTTAATTTTAAATAAAAAATTTTAAATTAAGAGATATAAACTTCACTAAATTTTTTATTGGTAGTTATTTTATTGATGGGTGCATAAAGTACAAGCGGTTTACATATCAAAATTCTCTCCACATTAATTAATTTTCAGTTAGAAACTCAGTTGACATCATCCTCTTTAATTTAATTTTGAATTTAAAACTCAATTGACATCACTCATCAGCATGTAATTTTCCTTTTTCTTGCTATAAATATATGAAAAACAAACAAATCTAAAGTGGAAATTAAACAAATTTTGAAATTAATATAAAAAAAGGGAAGGAAAAAAAAAAAAAAAACCAATTATCTTCTGCTCGTTGACACTGTAGTTTTTACCTTCGAATAAGATCACAAGTCATAGACAACTTCGGTATCCGGCAACCACTCGCTGCCCTGAATAAAGGTTCCGACGGTGTACTTTCCGGCTTGGTCTTCCGTAAGAGTAGGCCGGTACCCAGCCCACTTAACCCTCTTATCCACATTTGATCCAGGCCCAGTATTTCGGTATTCAGCATAGAAGATGGTGCTGGGTGGGTCCACATTGCTGACCCATTCTATCCAGCCCAATGGGTTCAGGAAGGCCCCAATTTCAGACTGCATAATAACAGTAGTGGAGTATTCTTTCCAGGGCCTGCCCAGGTAGGTCTGAGCAGTAAGGCTACTATTAAGTGCAGAAAATGTACATTTCTGGATTGAAATGCCAGTGTTTTGGTTAGGGTCCTTTTTGCCTTGAGCTGTGATGGTGTTGAACTGGTTGGGCAGGGGCTGCCTCGGCTGGATTTTGCAGCTCTGGAAGACGACGGCCGCGTTGCCGAAGATGAAGTCGATTGTGCCAGTGATGTCACATTCACGGTAGAATTGGCGGTTGGAGTGGGCGTAGAGAGTGTCCTGATAGGCGTCAAATGCACAGCGGTAGAAGACGGAGAGGTCGGAGCCGGACCTCATGGCAACTGCCTGGTGCTTGGCTGGTCCTGCACTGTTGACAAACGCCATGTCTTTTGCAATGAAGCCCTTTCCTACCACAGCTGATGATTCACACAAAATTATTAATGCTCAGAGCTATGTAGTTCATAATTCATCTAAATAAACACACCATTTTGACTACCAATAGGAGATTAGCTAGAGTAATATTCAATTAAAAAACAAAACTCAATTCACACCCAAAATAATTATAGCATTATACATTTTATAGTATGGATTGCAAAACTCGATCTATCAAATTAGGAGTTTGCCTCCCACATACAGCTTTGGATGTCTCATTCAAGTGCATTGAACTTCTGACATTGTCAGAGTTTCCTCCACTACAATAACAGCCAAATTATCTCCATTTCCCCACATTCTCCCATATTCCAAAAAAAAAAAAAAAAAAATTAGGAGTTTGCCTCTACATTTTGGGAGCCGGCTTCATTTGGTTCATGTTAAATTAAAAGATTTGTAGAAATTTTTTAGTCTGAACAGACAGCAGTATTGAGAATAATTATAGATAAGGATCCGGAAAAGCAATATTTAAAGATAATTATGGATAAGCGTCCAAAAGCATTATGGATATCAGTTGCAGATCTTTCAATGAACTAACTAGTTCTTTGAGTGAGGTTATTGTATCTACAAATTTGGTTAAATAATTAGTTTTAATTGTAATTTTATTAATTTATAAAATTTTAAAATAATGAATTATGATACTTAAAAATATTTATTTATAAATTAATTTTAATTTATTAAATAATAAATATAAATTATTTTATTAATTATTAATTATTTTAAT